GGTATTTCTTTATTCTACCGATTGCTCTTTCGACATGATTTCTGACGGAAGAAATCTTGGCTGTTTCCTCAACCTCTTTTGCAGTCAACTGCTGCCTTGTGCCTTTGAAGGGGGGGAAAATTCAGATCGACGCCTGGTGGTAATGTCACCTTTATATGAAATCCTCTATCTGCCATTAGAATGTCTCTAGCATCAACCAAATCAAGAATCCCAGATTGCTGAGAGATGACTTTATCAGAGACTCTCCCTCCCCACAGTTTGGAAATAAAGATAACTTGGCTATTGGGAGACACACCTACAAGCACTTTGAAAGTGTTATGGCGCTTATAGTTCGACCACGTTTCTGACTGAGATTTCATTGAAGATGGCACTTCAATAAACACTTCTGTGCAATCAATAATGACTGTAGTGCTTGGAGAGCGAGAAAACTCTAATGGCATGTTCCTCAACTCATCAGATTGTGAACGAAAGGGAAAAATCAGTCTTAGTTCCAGACACAGAAAGTTAATCCAAGTAGTAAAATTTTTTGAAAAGTGTCCCGCAATAGATATGTCAAATCTGTCGGACAGGTCTTTGACGAATAGACCAACTTTTAGACGAACGAGTACCATAAAAAATTCCTCTAAGCCAGTAAGGTTTCTTATTGGTCCAGGTTTGGATTGAGGATTTTCCTGATAGCTGCGACTATCAGGAACAGTCTTTCCTGTCCAGCACTGTAATTTACTCACTTTCGGGTCAAGGTATTCATACACAGCCATTAAAGCTTTGTAGTTTGGGAAGCCTGTATAAAATTGTATAGCACTGTCGTCGTCTTTAAAGTTCTCCAAACTGAATGTCTTTCTTTCATTTTCATCTAACTGTTTTTTTAGGCGTCCTACTTCTTGCTTTAGAGTGCTAATCAGAAGAGATTGTTGTTCAATCCTCTCTTCAAGTATTGTTATATAATCTTGCTGCTCGACAAATGTAACCTTGGTACTAAAAGAAAATGAATACGAGTGCTCTTCCCAGTCATCTATGCATAATTTAATGTCCGTTTGAGTTCCTTTCACCATTACTTTGTTATTCTTCTGGACTTACTCCTAGTGTAATGTTTATAGACGACGAACTGCTTGAGCGTGATAGCGACACATCGTCAAGACTTTCTAGCTCCATTTGCTCTACACCTGCATTACTCAAAGAAGTACTTGCCGTCCGACCTCTGACGAACTAACACGCGTCGTTTCGGTTTTGGATCAGAAGTAGTCTTCCATGGGAAGATCAAAGGCTCGGTGCCATTTTTGAGGCGAGATCTTGTGCCACCGGGAGGCTTGTATATGTCTTCACGTCTTAAATGTTCTTCAAAAATTACTGTAAAACTATTAACATAAAAACTATCTCTTCCATGCTGTCTTTTTATCAAGTTACACCATCGATCTCGTTGTGGATTCCTTTGCGGGAACTTGAAAATGCTAAGGCCTTGGTCAAACGGCGCATGATAGTCGATGATAGTTGATTCTCTTCAAACTAACATCAACTATCACCAACTATCATTCGCATGGTCAAACGGCCAAAAAAGTTCGTGATAGTTGATGATAGTTCACCGGCAGTCGCGCGAGCAAAGTCACGCGAGCAGCTAGTTCCAGGCTCTTTCCGCGTAAAATGTGAACACTAACATGGCTTCGCGTGAGACAAACAAACTTGTTGAAGTATGAATTTATCACGACGAAAGAGGG